TTATCATTATTAGCTTCTAAACAAAACACCATTAATATGGGGAGTAAACTCATTTGCTCAGTACATGTTAATAATTATTTCAAGTAAATGCACTGATGTTTTGGGGTTGGGTTTGGTAGAAATGCATTTTAAATGACACGATAGTCAAACATCTGATTGGGTGTGTCCTTGTAAGATAGAGATGTCAGAAATAACTGATAGATGAGTATCTTTTGCAAGTGCTTTTTCTTATTTGCAGTAGTATTTGTGAAGTAATAGGAAATATTTTGGACTAAATATAAAATGAAAACTTAAAACAGGTGTTCAAGTAACTTTCAAGTAAATTTATTGCAAATAAAAATTAGAGTAGTTACTAACAGATTGAATGCATGGTTATAGTGGTGTTGCATCTTTGGAAGCAGTCCAGTTTAAAATGCAATTCCTTGAACTAGAGTGTGGAGGTAAAGATGAACTTTTCAGTAGGAGAGATAGAAATTGTAGATCCCTGTGTCTGTTGACACTGGATAGCTGTGATCAATGATAAAAGGTAGTCATCCCTGCTGGGGTACAGAATGTGCTCCTAAGCATTTATAGTGTCTCTGGACTAAAAACCTTGTCAGTGGTTTATGTGATGTAAAACCAGCACTGATGGGACCATGTTGCCATCTGCTCCTCCTTCAAGATTTGCACAGAGAGAGGAAACTGAAGTAAATGCTGACAGCTGAAATTTTGTAGTATGTGAACCTTTGTTGCCATTCTCTTCTAGTAAGGTGCATGGAAGAATGATGCTGTGTATTTCTTGTCCAGAGAATGGATCTTTTTACCTGCCCATACACTGAATTTTAGGGGACAGCACAACTCACTTGCCATAACATGCATTTGGCCTGTTTCTAGTCTAATTATTAGACTGGTAATTTCCAAAACAACTCTAGACATGTAAAGAGGCAATAATGCTTGAAAAAGAATTTAAAAAGTGAGCTAAGACAGAATTGCTAAGCTTAAGCTTCAGTTCAGTGTACGATAAACAATCTACACTTTCACCAAAAGGAGACTTTTAAATTAGTAGTGGTCTTGCATTGGAGGAACACTGACTGGAAAAGCAGAAAAGGGGCTATAACTGTGCACTGTAGTTTATCAGTAAACATTGAGCAGGGACAAGTTTAAAGCTAGTTAATTTTACTCAAAATGCTGAATGAAAAAAAGGTCTAAATGCAGAGTGGAACTGTAGACCAGGCAAATGCAGGTTTCCTGATACCTAACAGTTAACTGGTTTCAGTTTGACTGCCATTCCTCTGTGACCCCCTTGACAATTGTGGAACATTAGACTATTGTGTTGAACACTGTAATGTTCAGGCACTTTAGCTTTAAGAAAGAAGAAGAACATGTCATGGTTGGAAGCACAGCAGAAGTGAAACATTCTCCTGTAAGGAATGAACATCCAGGGTCAGGTTTTTTCATGGAAGGGACACGATGTGGAGAGGGCAGGAGGCTCTTGGGGTTTTAAAAATACTGCAGTGAGCACATCAGCATTGTGTAATAAATTTAATAATGACAATAATAATTTTGCAAATAAATAGAATTTCCTGACAGGAGTTTTAGACCTGGAGCAAAGGATTAGGAGAGTTCGAGGTGCTTGTAGAATTAGATTGCAGTCCTCTGTGTTTCAAAGAAGAGAAGTCTAAAGGTAGGTGTAGCTCTGAGGTCAGCAGGGCCAGTCTAAATGCCCAGTGTGTGAGGGCTGCTAATAACTGGCACTAGAATACCTTGCTGCTTAAAACCACTGTTAAACCTGTTTGTCAAACATGAGTCTTCAGGGGGTTTCTGTTGGTCTTTCACATTGCTGATGTTACCTGATGCCCACAAACGGATATGGCTTTAAAAGGCTATTGAACAAAATACATATTCTTGGCTTAAAAACACACCAGCAGTTTGGAAATGTATTTTAATTATGGCTCTGAGTGTAAAAACACTATGAAAATATTTGTCTGAATTGCAAATACTGCTTAACCCTGTCCTGAGATCACAGGCACCAATAACAGAAGCTTTAGTTTTGGTTCCATTTGTTTTGTTTCTTCTTCTTTTGCTGTCCCCTTTACTCTGTTAGTGTTGGGGTTTTTTCTCCATTTTCATCTTGTCACCTCAGGCCTATACTTGAATCTTTTTCCACAAGCTCTCATCTATTCCTTTCTGGTTTTTTTCTTTTTTGCCTCTGTTCTTCTGCCTTCTTGCTGTCACTGAGTGTGCTGACTTAGCTCCCTGCACCAGAACTGATGGCATAGTATTTAATGTTTCTAATAATGAATATTTTTTCTGTTCTTTAATTATATAAATCTCTTACAAAACATCTAATTTGTTGTATCTGTCAAATTTTTTGTAAAACTTTGTGTAAAAATCAGTTACAAAAGTATACTTTATTTATGACAAAAAGCCAACATCTGCCTGTGAATGGCTTTATTTGAAAAAAGTAACAATTACAACTGGCTTTTCAAATGTAAAGCTTCTTTCTAAAATTAGTTCAGTGATTGGAAACTTTTCATTATTTCAAACAGTATCAAGCTGCTGTCATGCAGAATTAGGAAAACATTTAAATTAATACTATGAATAAAAAGGCAGCTTCTTTGCAATATTGACTAGAGAAAGTCTTCAAAGAATAGCCTATAGAACTAAACCTAAGTAAAGAATCATTTGTCTTTCTTGTGCTTTTAGTATTTTTATTTAGTTTCTGTGAAATTCCACCAGTTTCTAGGTTTATTTTGCTGTCTGCAGTGGTTTGCAATGCACAGACATGCTGCTGTAAGCAGCTGTTCTAATGACTTTCTTGCTGGAATGGTGGAGATTTCATCTTACCATGACAGTGGAGTGTACTGAGCAAGAGTTCCGGGGAAAAGGTAAAAACACTGACCAGGACAGTGTTTTATGGATACGCTGCCCTGAGGGAAATCATAAAAGATAAGCTAATTTCAGCAGAAACTATGGTGTCTTTAAATATGTGTGCTTACATATCTGGATTTAGGATTCTGATACTGCAAAGCGTGGTTTCTTTTTAGGTATTTCTGCATTCTGATTTAAGTTAAAAAAATATATATATATTTGCATATGTATGTGGTATGTTGAGAACTTTTACAAATGCTTCATTAACAAATAATGAATATAAGTAGCTGCTTTCCTAATGTTACCAGCTTAAGAGTTAAGCACAACTAGTTACAAATAAAATGTCTTTTCATTCTCCTGTACAAGTGCAGTTCTACTCTTTAAAAATCCGTATTTAAAAAGCAACACGTGGGCACATTCACAGCTCCATGTGCTTCATTAAATAATTCGATGTTTATTTCCAGCTTCTTCTGCTTCTTAGAAGCCTGGGATTTAAGATGGATGAGCAGGTATCCAGATCTTCTAGTGGATAAATTCCAATACTAGATCCCTAGATCCCAGGACAAGCATATTTTTAAGATAAACCGCTTTGTCCTGGAGACAATGCTGGCGAGAAAAAAAAAAAAAAAATAAAAAAAAAAAAGAAGGAAAAAAAAAAAAAAAAAAAAGAAAAAAAAAAAGAAAAATTGTAATGACTGTTCTTGAGGTTCCTAATTTTGGTGGGTTTTTTTTCCTCTAGATTAGAACCACATTCTTGAGGTTCCTAATTTTGGTGGGGTTTTTTTCCTGTAGATTAGAACCACATTTAAACTGCCATATCGTGTTTAATTAACGTAAGCATAACATGGCTTTGTGCCATCCAGTAACAAAGGCACTGTCTTGCTGCTACTTTCTATGAAATTGTACACAATGAAAAAACTGTTTGGATGAGGAGCCTTAATATGGTTAAAAAGAAACATAATTAACCCTTTGGGTGCCTTAAGCTAGATTCTGTTTCATGATGGGGCACTCACTTGCATCTGCAGGCACACAGCTTGTTTCTAAGGCTGCAAGAGAATTTGCCTTAAGTGACAATGCCCTGGGATTTCCAGAACTTGCAACTCAAAGGGTTATTTTAGACTACTGGTTAAAAAAAACAAGCCTCTAAACAGGGAACAAAATGAAAAGGTCTTTGAAAAATTCCTTTGCATACTATTGTTATTATTTGTACATGATGGGTTTTTCAGTTTTGGGGACAAAATTATTGTTAAGCTTCTGGTAACAACATTGTTGGCTAAAGATTTCTACACAAGAAAAGAGAATACTTGGTATTCTTATATGACTGTATGTGCAAAATAAATTGCTTTCTTAGGTGTAAATTCAGAGATGCACATCTGTGTGTTTACCTTGATGACTGTGTCCACACAGTAAACTGCAATAATTGAAATTAATCAAGGTCAGTGTGTTGAATTAGCTGATTACATATTAAAGATACACAATGCAGGCAACTGTATACTAAAGAATTTCTACAAATGATGCAGTTTAAGCTTAGTTCAAACCTGCATCACAAAAATGAAGCTGTCAAGTTTAAATGCTACTCTTGCCGTCCTAGTTAGCTGGAATTAAAGATTAGTGTTTTTTTCCCTTGAAGGGAAAAAGTAGTTTAGGTACATGCAGTGCTGAAAGCAATGGAAATAACAGGAGTCTTAATTCACAAAAAATGAGTAAAAAATTAATTGACTAATGTTCTTATTCTAATATGTGCACCTTTAGTTGTGTAATGGTCCCTTTAACTGAAGAATGGGATATAATTTTCTAGTTGCATACGAACTTCCTTGAAATAACCAAGAGTCTTGGCATTGCCTGGTCTGGCTTTGGATGTACATTGTACTGAAATTATGGAATTTTAGTCATTTCTTTTAGACATTTAACTGAAAGTTAAAATGGCTAGTAAAATGCATTCTGACTGTAGAATTTAAGTACTGAATAAACTCTATGCATATTAGACCTGCTTCACTTGCTCTTATGTTCGATGCTGTTGTTGGATCGGGTGTAGCACAGTCTGCAGCTGCATCGAGTGCCCGAGCTGCCTGGCCCTACTGGAAGGACATCCCTGAGTGGCAGTGCAGACTGATACCTCACAGTGCAGAGAAAAGATGAAACTGTCACTCTCTAAAGCTGCCAGAATCTTTATTCCCTTTTCTGTTCCACTAGACGCACAATTTGGGAGCTGGGTGATCAGGCACTGGAATACAGGAGAGGCAGACATACAGACAACAATCTATAAACTGGGTTTGCTTTACATTTCAGTTTGACAGAGAAGAATTATATTTAAAGATGCCATTAAATAAAACTGACAATTTATTGAGGCAAAGCTAGAAAGCAAAATAATGTGCAGCAAAACCCACAGGATTGTTTTTGCAGACCCTGGGCTTCCCTGGAACAGGATGTAAGCACCATGAAATGACATCACTGTCTCACTGAGAGCCCCCAGGGTTACATAGTGTTTGCTAATGAGCATCAGGGTGGTGGGAAAGCTGAGGCAAGGACACCAAGTAATCCAGCAAGTCCATAAAGTCTGTCAGAGTGATCTGTAATTCAGAAAGCCATGGTTTGAGGTCGAGTGCAGCTCATGCTGTGTCTGTGATCTTCTGATTTCATCTGAAATTCTGTTCATACAAAGGAAGAGAAAGCTAAGCTAGAGATGGTTGCTCAGTAATTTGCTTTCATTTTACACTGGTGAATTAAAGGAAGCAGTTTGCCTTCCTCATGAAGCTTTTGAGTATCTGTTGCACCTCCAACACAAGTCCCATTAATAAACACTCTTGGGACCTATCAAGAAAACAAAAGTCGCATTAGTTACTTCTTGGAGAAAAGGTAAATATTCAAGCAAGCCCATGTGGACTCCACACAATTCTTGTGTTCATCTAGATGTGTGTATAATATTAGTGTACAACCCATACTTGTTCACAATATTTACAGATATGGGAAACTACATCTGCCCCTCAAAAGTAGGATGAAGTCACTGTGTGGGTGATTGTAATAAATTCCAATAATTGAGTCAAGTAACACTATGTAAAATAAAATAAAGGTGTTAAACACAATGGTCTAAATATACAAATGAAAAATGGCTTTGATACTTCAATTATTTCAGTAGCAGTATGGCAAATATCAGCTCTGAGGGATAGCCAGAGGGGTTCTAGAAGAAGAGACCTCATGCAGTATTTAATTTAGGAGCTTATATCCCAAATTTATCTGTCTCAAATCAATTGAGGACTTGCTATGGATATAACCCAAGAGTGATGTGTGTAGCCCAAGCTGTTACTTGTTAAGTATAAGAGAATATACTCACTGTTCTGCTACCAGTCATCTGTTCCAGAACATCTTGGAACTGCCTTCCATTTGTATTTTCATCCAGTTCCATAGCTGTGTAACTCACTTCCAAACCCTCAAAGAGGTCTTTTGCCATTTTGCAGTATGGGCATGTTGTTTTAGAGAAAATCACCACACAGTTGTGTGAAATAATATCCTGTGTGCTCAAAAGAAAGTTAAAAGTAGCAAACTTCAAGCCAATGCACTTAGAACACTATTGAACAGTCAGGAAAGTAATACAGAAGTTAAAAAGCTGTTGTTATCAGTAGCAAACACAGGAAAATCTGACACCTCTGAAGGCAGGTTGGACTTGCATCTGGCTCCAAACTGAGCACAGGGATGGTGGAGTGTGTGGCACAACTCTGCTCTGCAGTCTGCCCAACTCCTTTTGTCCCTCTAAATTGTTTAGGACAGTTTTCTCTCCCTGTAAGGCACTTGGGATGTGCCAGTGGCAAGCATAGTGACCAGAAGCAGTGGGTGGAAGACACATCCTTATCACTTTACTGTAAATTCAAGGGGATTTCAGACTATAATTAGCTATCAGTAAATTTATAAAAAAACCCCACAACTTCTAAAATATTTAACTTTACTTGATATCAGTAATTTTACAAGGTTCTATGCCCCGATGTCAACAGCAGCACTGAATTTGAGTAGAGGTCTAAAAAAAACCACAAAATGGGTGCAGCCTAGGAAGACCAGGTTCCAGGGCTGTGGATAAACAAAACTACCAGCATGGCTTGATAACCACAATGAACATAGGAACAGGTTCAACAGGCAGAACTATTTACAGTAATTCTTTGTGTAAATAAAAAAGGTTTGAAGTAACAGGTTTTTATAAATGCTGAAAATCAGCAAAAGCAACATAAATAATGCTACCTGTATTTGATTCACAGCAGCATTAGACAATCCTACAGAAGCGGTCTGGCTGTTCCCCATTCTAGAACTAAAAAGAAATGACAGTCAGATCTTCGAGCTTTCAAAGAATCGCCACGTTGCCCTGTTTTGTATTTCACTGACTTCTCCATGAGAGCTGACCTGAGCTGCACCACCTGCAGCCACCCCTGTGCTGCAGGTCAGGGGAGCGGCGGGATGGCGGCGGCTGCGAGCGCCCGGCGGGGCCGTTACACGGGAACGGCAGCGGCACACCCGCGGGGGACAGACACCCGCGGGGGACAGACACCCGCGGGGGACACCCGCGGGGGACACCCGCGGCACCGCGCCCCGCTCCTGCCTGCCGCGGGCCCGGCACCCGGCACCCCGCCCCGCTCCCGAGCCCTGCCCTCATCCTGATCCCATCCCGGACCCAGTCCTTGTTCCGATCCCGATCCCGGTCCTTGTCCCGATCCCGGTCCCGGTCCCTATCTCTATGCGTGTCCCGGCCCGCACTCACCGCCCCGCCCAGGCCGCCGCCAGCCGGCGCAGCGCCCCCTGCAGGGCCATGGCCGCCGCCGGAAGGGGCGGCGCTGCCCTCAGCCCTCACGGCGCTGCGGCGCCGCTCTCGCAGGGCCCCGCGCCGCGCCCGGGGCTGCCCGCAGCGCTGCCGGTGCTCCGGGAGCGCCGGGACGGGACCGGGACGGGGACAGGACCGGGACTGCACGGGGACGGGGACAGGGACAGGGACAAGGATAGGGACAGCACGGGGACAGGGACAGCACAGGGGCAGCACGGGATGCGGCGGCTTTCCCAGGATGGGGTCGGGAGAGCCATGAAGAGGGGCTGGATTTCCCTGAGGCCGCGGAGCCGCTCCTGGTGTGGGGAAGTTGGGCAGATTTGGCCTCCTGCCCGGCTGGCTTCCTGATGTGAGGGTTTCAGCGCTGCCTTTGCTTTGTCCAGTGTCAAACTTACTTTAAGTTTTCTCCGTCCCCGTTTCTGTTGCCTGTTCTTCCTCACGTTTCTTTCCTGCCTTGCAGTTCCTCGCTCAGAAACTGGCCAGTGAAACAGGAGTTGGGGACGGAGTAAATAATGGGTGGGGGATGAAGAACTGCTCTTGGTACCTGGGAAGTTTGTTAGTGGAATTGGCTAATCATGTAACGTGTGGAATGTTTTTAGTGGCTCCTGGGGGAAAAAAAAAAAAAAAAAAAGGGAGAGGTCTTACTTTATGTGGAGGCGTTGGGTATTTTATTTCCTTTTATTTCCTCAGTAGAAGCTATTCAACAATATTCTGTTATTTCACCCCCACATATCTTGCTGGGGAGCATGGTCAAATACGTGTCCCTGGCAGAGCACTCCTGTGGAATATCCTCTGAGCAGCCCCTCTGGGGTCTGTACAAGTATTTCAGTAGTGGAGAAACTTTTCTAATCCCTCTGTGTTGAGAGTAAATTGTGCTCTGGATCACTGTTCAGCGCTCAGCCCTATGTTTTAAAAAATGCTGCAAGGAAATGCACTTGTGTACTGATTTGGTTTTGCTCATATGTGTCTGTAAAGGGAATGTGTGCTCATGCATGATGTATCTTTCTGGATGTTGATTAATCTTAAATGAACTTACCTATGATGTAAATTTGTCTAATATTTTGCAACTTAATTTTGCTTTCCTACAAAACATCAGTGTAACCTGTTAAAGTAGTGAGAAAACGCAAGCAAAACATTGTATCCATGTCATATACTTTGATTTTACTAAATGGTAACTTACTTGCTCATTTAAGATAATGATTTTGTAGCCCAATGTTCTGTGATAAAGCTGATAAACTCTCAGGTATCTAATGCCACATGAAAATAGTTTCACATCAAATCCTGATTCAATGATTTAAATGCTGGTTAATTGTGTCACTATGATTCCCAAAGCAAACAGTGGGAACTATTTCGTACACTCCCAGTTGAAGCGGCATGTTAAGAGTAAACCCACTATATTTTTGCATTAAATTTGGCAGAAAATCACCCCCCTGGCATCCCAGCTGTTCCTCAAATATCAGAGGGACTGGGACAGCTGGGTTTAGCTTCTGAGCCGTGGGCAGTTCCGCAGCAGACATGCAGAGGTGGTGTGGCACTGGAAAGAGCTGACCTTTGGAGTTCCTCCCAGCCCAGCCCAGCCTGTGGTGAGTCCCCTGTGTGCAGAGGTGTGTGTGAGCCCACGAATGTGAACCATACAGCCAGCCACAAGCACAGCCAGATGGGAGATGCCAGTGTAGCACTAAGAGTATGATCACAAGCACAGGCTGGCTTTCCGAATTTCCCGAGGTGCTTACCTGGTACAGCCGAGTGCTGGAGTCTGACCCAGTAGGTGTCCCTGTGGGGAGGAGCTAGCTAGAGCCCTCTGACAGTGCCAGGATACCGAGATGGAGTCTCCTCCCACCTCCCTTACCACTAAAGCTGTATTTATATTGTTTTCAGTGAGTGGCAGGAGAAGGTGAAGTTATGTCTGACATAATTTCCCATTGAAGTGGACCTTGATTTTAGTAATGAGCATATATGGGGGGTATTGACACAAAGCTGGGGCACGGCTTGGGTCATTCCTTTGGCTTAGTTCCTGTTACCTGCATTGTTCCTGCCAGAGCATGACCACGGCACCCCTGTGCCACTCCATCCTTTGTTTCCTATCTGCACTGATTTCAGCAGGGCGAGACCAACTCTCTCCCTGCTGCTCCCTGCTTTGCTCCCTGCTCCCAGAGCAGCACGCTGGGCTCCTGCAGGGATGCTGCTCCTCAGGGTGCAGGCAGCTTGTCCCTCCTGAGCTACTGCCAGCACACAGACTCCTTCTTGCTCAGCTTTCTTTTTCAGTGTTCTCCCAGTGAAGGCAGCCTTAAATGAAAAAGGAAACCAGAACCACAACGTTTTCTGGAAATCTGAAAGTAAATCTCTTTGTAGCTGTGTGTGCAGCTGACTGTTCACTGCACCATTCCCTGATTGGGCAGAACTGAAATGAAGGGCTTTTTGGGTCATTGTAACCCATGAAAAGAAGTATTGCTTGTAGTGCAGCAGATGTATAGGATGTGTTTCTGAGGAGGTAGCACTGGTTTAAGGGACACACTGGGCCTTTTGGATGAGGCATGGAAATGAGACTTGGCCTGCAGGAAGCATTTCAAGCCCTGTTCCAATTTTCATGAGCTGTAGCTCCAGTAATAATTCCAAATCCAGTTCAGGAAATGATATTGTTTATTCATTATGCCTTTGTCTTCTAAACACACAAATACTACTCTATACCCTTTGACAAATAAACATTGGCAGTGATTGGTATAATTCACCATGTTACTGGGTGTTGTAGTACATATTTGTGTGCTAGACTATTTCAATACCACATCTGAAATGTTTTAAATACACTTGTGGTGCTCTGCATGTTGTTGTTCTGACACAGATGGGGATATCACTAATGTACTGAAACAGGGAATTCTATAGGCTGTTGGCTTTTGGTCTGTTTTCTCAGTCTCAGCACATGTTACTTACAAGAATGAAAATTAACCAATTCTGCCTTTTACAAATCTAAGACGGTATCATGCTTTCTGCCAGTGTTGAAGAGTGTTAGAAAAATTCTGAGCATCAAAGGTTAGAATAAGTCATGATGAGAGCTTGTTTGGGGGTCTCAGATCCTGCAATCAGTATTCCCCAGGGGGTACCAGTTTGGTTCTGCTGGGAATGCTATGCTCCCAGTTTTTGTGTGTTTGAGCAGAAGAAATTAACTTGGAACATGGAGAGAGCATGGAAAGAGCACATACCAGCTGCAGCTGTGCAGTTGCTCAGGTGAGCAAACAGAGATCCCAAATTCTGCAGGGTAATGTGGGATGTGCTCCATGGCATTACTGTTTGTCCTTCACATTTACAGGCAACATTTTCCTAATGACCTTTTGTTTGCTATGGTCTTTTGACGGCTTATTTGTATCAGAATTAAAGGACGTTTTTGTGATTGATAAAGCAGAGACTTCTCTGTCTTTTTTTTTTTTTTTTTTTTTACCCAGCTTTATATCCAGGAGATTTTCTCTCCAGCCTGCAGAGCGAGATGCATGCACAGTGTCTTGAGAGAATCAGCCACAGAATATCCTGGGTTGGAAGGAACCCACAAGGATCATTGAGCTGAACTCCTGTCCCTGCACAGGACACTCTAATAATTCCAGCATGTGTCTAAAAACATTGCCTAAAAGCTTCTGGAACTCCGGCAGGCCTGGGACCATTACCTGCCCTGGGGAGCCTGACCCATCATCCCTCATCTGGGTGAGGAGCCTTTTCCTGATGTCCAGCATAAACTTCACTGATACTGCTTCCTGCTGTTCCCTCTGCTCCTTTTACACTGTTTTCTTGAGGTATTCCTGTGACCCTGCTGTCCCAGCCCTTACCAACCACAGGCTGCTGGGCACATGGCTGGGAGTGATGACATAAAACCCCCTTAACACCCCCAAACCCCTCCCAGGGCCCTTTAAAACCTCTTTAGTGTCACTAAAACCCCTCCAAGTACATCATACCCCATCCCAGCTCCCCCAGCACCCCTCAAACCTCCTCAGCACCTCCAAACTCAGTTTATCTCTCTCAGACCCCTCCCAGCACACCCTAAAGCCCCATTAGCACCTCAAATCCCTTTGAGCACCCTCTGAAGTCTCTTTAGCCCCACTAAAACTCCTCCCGGTGTACCACATGCTATCCTAGCATCCCCAAACGCCCCTCAAACCTCAACATCCCCAAAGCTCTTTTTCGTTGTGCTTTAGCATCCACGAATCCCTCCCAGCATCCCTAAAACCCCGTTAGCACCACCAACCCCCTTCCAGCACCCTCTAAAACCCCTTCAGCACCACCAAAACCCTTCGTTACCCCCGCCCAAAACCATCCCAGCGCGCCCGGGGAGCGCGGCGCAGCCGGGAGCACCAAAGCTCCAGAGAAGAGAAGCAGCGCCGATAGACTTCGGCAGTGACTGTGTGTGAAGCTCTATTTTCACATAAGACACAAGAAAGCCCCGTGTGCCCAGGACGGACAAAGCCGCCCCCACACGCCCCGCCCGGGCCGCCCTGAGGGCGGGGCCGCCGTGAGGGCGGGGGCGTGGCCTCCGCCGTGAGGGCGGGGCCGCCGTGAGGGCGGGGGGCGTGTCCTCCTCCGGCCCCGCCCCTCCTGCGGGGCGGGCCCGCGCCGCTGCCATGGCAACGAGTCCGGCGTCGCCTCAAGTAGGCGGCGCGGCGGCGCCGGCTCAGGCATTCGCGGCGGGCAGCCCGGGGCGCGCCGGCGGGGTCCTGCGGCGGGCGGCGGCGGCCGGAGCGGCGGCGGCCGGGCGAAGATGGCGGACGTGCTGAGCGTGCTGCGGCAGTACAACACGCAGAAGAAGGAGATCGTGGTCAAGGGCGACGAGGTGATCTTCGGAGAGTTCTCCTGGCCCAAGAACGTCAAGACCAACTATGTCATCTGGGGGTGAGCGACACGGCCGGGGCGAGGGGCGGCTGGGGGGAGAAGTTGCCCCGAAGTTGCGGCGGGGACGGGAGCGCTGCCGTCCTTGGCGGCCCCGGCGCTCCGCGGGTGGCGAGCGGGACGGGGCCGGGCGGGCCGGTGCCGCCCCCCGCAGGGCCCCGGTGCCCCGGCGCCCTGCCCGGCTGTCCCGCGGGCGATCCCCGTCCCCCGGCAGCCCGGCCGGGCAGGGCGCGCCCGCCGCTCCCCTCGGGAACGTTCCCGGGTGCAGCCCGCGGCCGGGTCGTGCCTCGGCTCCCGGCGCTCCTGCCCGTGCCGCCCGCGGGGCCGCGTCCTGCAGACTCATGCGATGAGATGGCAGCAGGCAGCTTCTCCCAAGTTCTCCCGCGTGTTCGGTGGGAAAGACGCGTTGTGTTGCTCGGACAGCGCTCTCAGGCGCACGGTGGGATTCCTGGGGTGTTTCGCGCGGGGCCAGGAGTCGCAATCGGTGATCCTGATGATCCCTTCCCACTCAGCATAGTCTGTGATTCTGCTCTCTTGCGTTGTCGGGGCTGCTTCTCGTCTCCTGGAGCTTTGGTGCGCCAGGGCGAAGCCAGCGAGGCCCGGCCCGACGCTGCCTCTGATGAGCTGTGCAGCTGCTCTGCCCCCACCCGAGACCTCCTCCTGGGCAGCACCTGGTGCAGGCTGTTTCCTACTTGGTCTTATCGTAATAAACAAGTAGAGAGAGTGTTTATGTGGCTTAAATAATTGTAGTAGATAAGATGCCTGGTTTTAGCCTCTAGTATATGGGGGAGGGGGGTTTGCCTGTTGAATTTCCTGGTAGAGCATGGATTGCTTATATTGCAAATGAGTTTATTGTTAGCTTTTTCTCAGAGTTTAGCTGCTGCTTGCTTCTTAGTGTTCTCACTAGAAGGGTTCCGATTTATCTTTTTCAAACTTGAGGGAAAAATGCTTCTTCTTAAAGCTCAGGTACTGATCAAAGAGGACATGGTATCCTGTGAACCTTTGTGGAAAAGCAGAAGTACCTGCAGGCTTTTCACAAAACCCTGAACTTGTAGTTAAGTCTGACCAGGAATTATTTTTTTTTTTAAAAACATTATTATGATATGACTATTATTAGCCTTAGATTGAGAGAGAGAAAGGAAATAAGCCTACTTGCTCATCTTCAGTTGTAGGTGGACTTTTCATACAGAATTTTACTTTGTGCCTTATTTATTACTAGAAATCTGTTTTTTCATTACCTGTTTTAAGCTTTCAGAAACTAATTTTGGAGTTATTTGTGCTTCCTGCCTGAGTGGGGGATACTGGTATGTGGACTGAAGAGGAAGACAAATATTTGGACAAGCAGAAGTCTTGGCTGTATTTTTGTTGGGCAATGTGTAGACAGATGTGATGGTTTCCTTGCTACAAGTTGCTTTTCCCAAGTGGTAACAAGTAGTGGTTAAGTAGACAAACAAGTTTCATTGCCCTTCTGCAGGGAACAAGAAACTGATATGCCAGCCCTATCCTATTGCTCAGGAGAGCTTGGATTAGACTCAGAAATTGTTACCAAAAGCCTGAAAGTAGCTGGAGAGCAAACTCTGCTGTGTACAGCCAGGCAGCTTCATCTTCCTGGTCAAGAAGGATGTGTGGGTGAACAGAGGATTCTCTGAGCACAGCAGCTGCAGCTCCTGGCAGAGCTGTGAGTGCTCACCTCCTGGGGTATGTGTGTGGTGCAGTTTGAGGGTTTTTTTCTTTGGGTTGTTTGAAGTGAGTTAGTTAATCTTGGTTTAGACAAGTGGCTTTTGAATTTTTGATAGGATCAGGCTGATCTCAGTTCACAGCATTTCTTGTCAACCACTGTGGCATTTTGCATGTCTCAGCTTTAAATTGAAGACACTGTAAAAATGAGACCAGTTCTGCAAG